TTGTCTGTGCCTTGCAATTCTCTTGATCTGTGGATGGCCAGCAAACTTCTCTTTCAAAGCTGTTGCAACTTGTATAGCATTTCGTTCCCTGGGTTTCATCTGAAAAAAAGTTCATAACATAACAAAATTCATTCTAAAGTTTTATTTAAAACAAATAATACATACCACTCCAAGCTTTTCTGCTGCCCTAGCCTTCCACATACGGATATTCATTTCATCAGATCCACTCAAAACATATTTATCATCAAGGGACCATAGTACACAAGTCAAACGCTGCATACGTTTAGTGTGATACACCTGTTAATTAATTTGATAATTAAACAAGTCATCATAAATATACATTCATCATACATGTTTTTTTAAATTAATACCTCTCTTGAATGTCCCATGTGACTGTCGAAAATTCTGATTGTTTTATCATAACTTCCAGAAACAAATTCTTTTCCTGTTGGTGAATAATCTACATCTACTACAGCCGAAACATGATCCATGTGGACCATTACTGGTTGTCTTAACTTTCTTGTGTCAAATGTGTATAAACTAAAAAATTTGTGTTAAAGGTTATACATAAAATATATACATATGTCAATTTTGCTCACTCTAATATCAAATAATATCAAAGGCGAGACATAATGCATCTTTTAAAATTATTATTATTAATTCTATTATTTTACCACTTTCATTTCCCTCAAGTGCAACTATTAATATGTTTAAACTTTAACATATTATTAAGAATTAAATTTAGAAGTTTGAGCTAATTGGCTTTGATTGATCTAATTGATTATGGTAAATAAAACAGTAATAAAAACAAATGTTAAGACTAACTTAAAATCTAAGTCAATAAATTAAAATTTAAATAAAATACAATTATTACTTATAATCTTCATTTGCTAAGGTGAATGTGAAGGCCTCCATAGGATTCCATGCCAGTCTATTAGATCTCAGAGTCATAACAACCTTTCTCAAAGGTTTAGCTTCCCTGGTATCATACAATATAATGCTTCTATCACTGGCACAAGCCGCTAACAAGTTTGTCTCAACTCGATTAAAGGCTACATCATGTACTATACTATCTACTCCCCATTTCATAGACCTTATGGGTTCATTTCGATCATGTTCCCACAATTGACAGACTTCACCACAAGTTGGCTATTATAGGTTTTTTACGGTGATGGGTTACACCTGTTAGAATTCTACTTAAAATTGTATTGACAGGTTCTTCCTCTTCTCCAAATTCAGGAGGGCTGGTATTCCAGGTTTTGATTGTTTTGTCATCACCAACAGTTATAAAGTGTTGGCCATCTGGTTTATATGCTAGACCTCTTACTATCCCTATAGTAAATAAAAATAATAATGATGAGAAATCAAGTCAATGAGAAATCAATTATTTTTATTATAATAAGTTGAGATATAATTGATATACCAGAAAAATAATAATAATATAATGAATGAAAATTCAATTATTTTTATTATAATAAATTGAGTTCGACTAAATTTCATTTTTGATGTATCTGAGGCAATAAGTCAAGTTATGCTCATCATAGAAAAGTGTTTATCATAACACCAAAAGCACAGGGAAAACGATGTATATCTCATTTCCATTTAATGTTTATAAGATGCTTGTCCCTGTTTTTGAGGATTAATGAACCATTTCCTATATATGAGTGCAAAGAAATCTAAATCAGAATTTGAAATTATTGATAAATAATATTTAAAAACTCATTCAATGGAATAATTTGAGAATGAATTTATTGCACTTTATAGTGAAAGGTGAATCATTATATTGATGATATTTTTATTACCTTCATGTGCAACGAAACTTCTAATACATTTTCTTTGTGGCAAATCCCAAACTCTAACTTCTCCATCATAGGCACCACTGGTTAAATTTGATAAACTTGCTGGATGTTTAGCAAAACAGGATACACCATCTCTGTGACCGCTAAGATTGCCGACAAAAGGCTTAGCAAATACCCTTTCTAATTTAACTGCATTTAGAGCTCTAACATATTCTCTGGGAGCCTCAAATGGATGTAGTGCAGGATCATAGTTTCTGGGAACTGAATATAAAAATAATAAGTATAGACTTTTGCTAGAAAAAAATACTTCGGAATGAATTTTATAGAAATTCTGGCAGCGTTATTTGCACTTATTTGTTGTATAAAATTTCTTCGTTGAATTAGTGGCTTTATAAAAGTGGCCAAATTACTTATGCGTTGTATTATTACAGGTTTGGAAGTAAGAAAATAATAACACCAGAATAATCAATCAATCAAGGACATTTTTGCATGGTCTCAATGATAAAAATTGGTATTCGAGGTTATTTGTCTGGCAAGCAATTAGTTTGAGATATAGCATATAAAAACACATTTTTTATTTCATATACCTCTATGTATATCCAATTTTGTTGGACGTAAGTATTCATCAGGATTTCTGCTGATTACTTTGACTTTCATTTTGTATGCTACTTTAACACTATGATTTTAAATTATGATTTATAATAAATATTAAAACATTTGGATATCGAAAATGAATCCAAAATTTGTTAGAGCAAATTTCTGTCGAAGCACTACTTATATATTTATATTATTAGATTATATTAACATTAAAGTAATTCAACGTAATATAAGAAACGTCAATCTTGAAATAGGGTTATGTTTCTAATGTCAAAACACGTGTTCAAGTAATTCGCGTTTTGTGTAGTGGCTAACTTGTTTCTTAAGCGGGTAATTCGAACTTAAACTTTAGTGAGGAAGCTTGAGGAAATAATTTTTTTTTTGTGGTATACCAGATTAAAAAGAATGTTGTAATTTATTATAATCATATATAATATATTTTTCTGGAATATCATTTAATTATCTACAAAAATGTATATTTCGGATAAAATTTAGTATTTATTTTATTATTATTTTATTTTATTTATTCATAAGCAAGCCGTAATCAATAATAATAGATATTATTTCAGGCTCTTGTCAAGCTTATTCATAGTTAATATTAAAAGGATACTAATTTTATAATAATCATAGTAGCTGCACGAATTTTGATTCTGAAAAAAAGAGCTGAAAAAAAGCATTCGAACATTAAATACAATGTTCATCATCAAGTTCATCATATTAAAGTCTATTTGACCACCAGTCAAGCTCAAAATTCTTGCACAAGGTTGAAAGTTATACTCATTTAAAACCGTAAAAAATTTAAATTAATAAAATAGCAATAAAAAAATGAAGAGAAAAAAAATAATGGTTGTACAGGCGATCAAATGGTCAGACTACATAGATACAGGATAAAGATTATGCAAGAAAATAGTTATTGAATTCAAATTGAGAAAATTCAGTAATGTCATAAAAAGCTAAGTCTTTAAAAAGTTTAACTAGGGAAGCATGAAATTTTTTGCTGTCTAAGTTTCGGATATTGAGTGGAAGTGGAAGACCGTCGATCGTATTGAAAGAGCTGGCCAATTTAAATGTACGCGCCTTAATAAGTTTGTGTCTAGTGTTGTAATTTGAGGACGAAGCCATATCAAAAAGTTTCGAATTGTTTTTGATGAAAGTTAATGTTACTAGCAGAAAAATGCATGGGACAGTTAGAATATTGTATTTTTTAAATAAGGGTCTGCAGGAGGCTTTACTGGGCAGGGAAAAAATTATTCGAATAGCTCTTTTCTGAAGCTTAAATATTTTAATTAGTTCGTATGAGTATTTCATACTATCAAAATGATTCCTGGATTTTTGATTGGATTTTCATAAATATAATCAGATTTTTGTGTTAAATTTTGTTATTATACCTACACCTTTACTTTATGTTCTTACAAAACACGACGCAAATTAAAATGATGTTTAGGGAAGAATTTTCTTAGCAATTCATGTTAATATGATAATATGATATATATATATATATATAATCAAAGAAATGTTAAAATTTTCAAAAATACTAAAATTTAAAGTAACAATCCAACCAGAGTAATTATGTAACGAAGAAAAATAGTATGAATTTTTGTTAAAAACTACTAACTACATATACAATTAATTACTGTCAATATTTAAAAAAAAACAGTGTCCGATAAGTCCATGGTCTGATAAGTTGTAGTAAATTTGCTTTTTGTCATGAAAAATATGATTTTTAAAGATCAGATTTTTTTGCAACGTAAATTGAATTTTCTGTTAGCAATAGCAATATTATTAGCCATCACTTGGAATATTTGAAAACTTTTTACTCTCTCAGGATATATTATTTGAGCATGCCTTGCATTTTGGTAAAAGAGTAATAAGTAATAAAATTCTTATAGCAATTTTTATAAAAGAAATATAAAAATTAGGATATTGACAATCAGAGCAAATATTATTAAATTAGTACTAGAGAAATCTAAATTTAAATTGAACATATAAAGAATTATATAGACACGTTTATGAATAAATAATATATGAAATTAGTTAGCAATTTTCATATTAGAAAAATAAAGATTAGACAATCAAAATGATTATTACAAAATTATTGATAAAATAATCTGATTTATTAAGCATATACATGCTCTCAAAAAGCACTATGTATACACGTTTATAAATAAAAATCTAATAAAATTCATGGAGAACTTCTTTCATGAGCAATGGCAAACCTAATAAAATCATCAATTATTTACTGAGAATGAATCAAATAAATAGCTTTTCATACAGTTCGGATATAGCAAGTGAAAATCTAGTTGATTTTATTTTGAGATTTGAAGTGAATTAGATATAAATTAAGATGCAACAATTATTTGCTTCAAGCAAATTGCTCGCAAGCTTAAAATATTGTCGATATTTGAGTTTTGAGAACTTCTACATTTTTTGAATGTAATATTTGTATATATAATATAAAATTTAATAAAAACTTACGCTTTAAATATTAGAACTCTTGTTCAGAAGATATACTGTTCAAAAATGTTATTAGCTCTTCGTCTATTGCTGTCGAAACTGAATAGAATTTCTTTACATTTTTGGTTTCATTCATTCAACAGTTTTCAAAGGAACTATTAATATCGGGCTGAATTAACAATTAACAAATTTTAAGTTGAATTTATTTGAGTGAAATGAATTGTTAATGAAAATTGCAGGTTTATTGTGTATGATTATTTTTTTATCCAATGTATTTCGGATTTACGTTTATTCATGAAATATTATTTAAATTAATTAATTTAGCATTAGCTATAGTTCATGATTATTCAAATTTTTATGTGTTTTCACTCTTATTGGTTTGTTACATTTATTGCAATTTTGGAAATATTATTCAGCGTAGAAATTAAACTGAATTGCAAATTTAGAAATTATTAAAATTTGCAAAATACACATGTGATGCACAAGTACTGAGTGTATAGATTAGTACCTTATAAACACAGTTTTTTGTTAATAATTTTAAAGCTATGAATCCAATGATATTATCATTATTTTTTTCAAATTTTAAAATATGACGTTTTACAAAATGTCACAAAAAAACTATTTTTTTTTAAATTGAACGTTTTTTAGCTCCAATGTTTCTTTTTCACTTACAAAATGATTGTAAGACCGGCAACTATCAAAAATGCATCTCAATCAGTGTATAGCATTCACGTTCTACTAATAAACGCGCGCGTTAAAAATAACTTGGCAGTGCGTTCTTGTCTTTTGATGTGATGAGCCCAGAAATACACAATTTCAGGATCAGATATCCAGTTGTAAACTCCAGCTAAGAACTTCAAACTGCAAACTTATAATTTGCAACCTGCTAATCCGAAATCATGGAAAACTGGTCCACAAACGCGATCATTAACTGGAATCATCATGGAATTATGGAGTTGCCAAGTGAATTGGAACATTATGGCAGTAGCGTGAGGGAAATGCATTTACAACATAATAGAATTCAAACTTTGCCGCCATGGATCACGTATTTAAGGAATTTGAGTGCACTTTATTTGGATAATAATAATTTGCGGGATATTCCGGAGGAAATTGGCACCTTGTCGCACCTGACTGATCTGAACTTAAGTAGTAACAGTTTGAGCAAACTTCCGCAAGAGATCAAATCTTTACACAGTTTGACGAATTTAATCATTACTGATAATAACTTGACCAATTTGCCCGGTAAGTAGTCAGATTTTTTTTCAAATATTAATATCAAACTACAAATAGTGCTAATAGAGTAAAGTGTCTTTGTGAGCAACATTATGAAAACACCAGCAAAGACATCTTTGATAATAATTGCTTGGCAATATTCCGTTGTTTACTAAATTTGATCTATCAACATATTTTGTGTATGCTAGTCGATTGTTTTACTAGAACTAGGCTTTTCGAATATCTAATCAAAGGTCCAGATACATAAATTTTTTACTTGGCTTATTGCCATTTTAAAAAACATACAAACTCAGCAAGCTGAGAATGCTTGTTTTGTTATAAATTTTAACTAAACACATACTTGTTTATTCTTAAAACTAACTAGTGGTGCATGGCATCGTGTCTTAAGGCAAATTGCTGGAACTTCTCATACCGTAATAAAATATTCTAGAAATATTAAATGCTTTCAAATAGATTATTATAAATACTGTAACTTATATATGTTTACAGAAAAATGAATAAACAACACTTAATCAATCGAAATTAAAATGAAAGACATTGCCCAATATTTAAAAGAATTATATAAACTGAATTGCAGGGTTAAAATTATTTATTTCGAGTATATAAGTGAGCCTAAAAACTTTAGCTAGAACTAAAATAAAAATCCGAAATATTTTCGATATTAAATTTTTTTTATGGGAATTAAGAAAAAATGGAAAAAAAATTCTTCCCAAAAGCAATCGTTTTGTCAGCACAAACAGAAAGTTTTTTGAATCATTCAAATTGGATGCTTATTTTTTTCAAAAACATTCATGTTTTACACATTTAGCTCGGTATCTCCAAAACGGTTGGACTTGCCTTTGCCAAAAACTAATCAGCACATCTCCCTGTCAATAGGAATCAAATGTTTTTTGAACCATCAATTCGATTGATCCGTGCGCCCGAAAACATGGTCAAAAATTTTATAAACACACACATCCATTTTTCCTTCCAACCTTCAAAACGTGAATAAATGCAAAAAAAATTCAATTTTATATTTTTGGACGATTATAATACGGAAAGTTAAAAATATAAAATTATCGTTTTTTATCAAATATAAAATATATATTTTATTAACCTGAAATTAATTCTTATTTTTCTGATGAATTGGAGCACCTGATTTTATAGTATTAGTCAATCATAAAAATAATTCAGTATCAGTTATTAAGCCACAGTCAATAAAATTGTAACCTAAGTAAAATGTAACCTAAGTAAAATTATTTTATATTATAACTGCACAACGTTTGGATCTTAAATGTAAAACCTGAAAGTAAAGCCCTAATATTTAATATTCACCAGAACTTGTTTATATATTAATTTATGTTTAAATTCATTTATTCAAAAACTTGTAGAGTCAATTATCTACATATTCTGGAGCTTCAGCAATATAATTTTATCAGGAACACTAAATTATATTATATTAATTAACGTTTAAAATCATATGTCCATATATAAAATCTTCTCAAATTTGAAATATTGTACATAAAACATAATTAATTTCAGTATTGTTATAACATTCACATTCGTATATATAATATTTTTATATAAAATTTCGTCGCTAGATTAAAATTCTGGGCGTATTTTATTGGTCAAATTGTTAATTTTCAACACAGTTTAAGTTTCGTTATCAAAGAAATATAACAAACTCTGAAAAACATGGTAAGTGGTAATCCATACACATAATTATTAACGAATGTATATAACGTACTGTTTCTAGAAACAAATTAATTCGAAACATCGAAAATTATAATCTTTTGTTTATAAAGCGAATCAAAAATTTGCGATAAAATTAGTGAAATTATTATTGGAACATTTGTGACAGAAATTATATCGGTCATTCTGCCCATGCTTATTTTATTTTAAGTTCTGGCTTAGTATATGACAAATAAATAAAGCAACTTTTGTGCATATAACCGATTTTTAATTTTGATGAACTGGCACAATAAGATTTTATTAAGCATCTGAGGTTTTCCAAGATTTGGCCTATAATATTAAATTAAAAAGATCAATAAAAAACATTGTATTTCACTTTAGTTTGAACATACATGTAGCGAATTCTAAATATTTGAGTTTAAATAGTAGAATATTGCATCAGTTTTGAATTACATACTCACTAAAATTTTTAAAAATAATGCTACAAAAGATAATATTAAAACACCAACACTTTTTTCACACTAAATCTACACAATGCATTTACGTGAATATTTTTTTTTGATTCGTGTAACTTCTTAGTTTCAAATAACTTTTTAATTTCTTTCCATATTGAATCAAATTTTTCATTTTTAGCGGTAATTTTAATTCGAAGTATTTTTGTTCATTTGCCTACTCTAAATAATAACGTGACTGATAATTACTTTTACGTGATAATTTTACTTTTGAAAATTGTTTTGCAAAGAAATTTATTTATTAGTGAATTATTAAAATGTAATAACATTTTACAACAAAGTAACGCAATTAGTGAATTTATATAATGGGTTTCTTTGCAGTGTAATACAGTACCATAATTAATTAGATAATGCGTTATTTTCAGTAGTTACTATAAACAATGAAAAACTAGCTTTCACCAAATTTAAGTGAATTATACAAATTTAAAAATATATAGTGCAGAATTCTCCTTTTTTGTGAAACTTACAGCCAACAATATGACCAATTATTGGTCAAATAATTCATATAAAATTATAAGTTGATATATCCGAAAATTTACAAACAATTTGATATTTGCAACCAATTTGCAATTTACAAACAACTTGATGAGAACATTTCAAATAGAAGTGTGATTGTTTATGAAATTGATTTAGTTAATTGTTTGCGATAATTGAGTAATTCAAGAAGTTATCGAATGGCTTAGATTTTCTGGAATAATAACATTATTTATTTATAGAGCTTAAAATAAGCGATAATGGGTGTATTACTACTGTTGTGATCGATTGTTAATTATAGGTTTATCAATTTTACGAATTTTTATTTGATGGAGATTAGGAAGAAAGATTGAAGGCAACTTCAGGTGATGGTTGGTTACACATTTTTTGCCTTCTACTTTAAAATAGTACATTGAAAAATTCAATACTTTACTTGTTTTTGAGATAATTATGGTAAGCTTTTTTACCCGCGGACCTTTAAGCCCCGCTCTACCCTATTATTAATGTTTCCCTTCGCAAAATAGGTTTTGTTGACTTTGTATATTTCGTATTAAAAATCCTTTTGTGTATAAATATTACTTGATAATTAATAATCAAGCTCGTTTATCAACTTCCCGTAGGGTAAGTTATAGTAATCGCAAAAAAATGGAAAATAAAATGTTTTATATATCTTTACGCTTCAAGGGTTTCTGAACATTTTCAAGCATACCTTAGAAAAAAGGATGTATGTGTGTATGTATGTATGTGTGTGTGTCTGTGTGTGTGCGGATACAAATTTTTGTAGACTATTTTGCGAATACGGATCAACCGATTAGAATAATTCGATTCCTACTGAAAAGCAGGTCCTGCCGTTTCGGAGATACGGGGCAAAAATTATTTTACTTGTCTTGACGAAATCAACAATTGGCGAAATTTGTGTATATACAGGTCTAGCGTCTCCGTAGATCCAATGAAAAAAGTAAAAAATAATGCCAAAATGATCATTAGACATATGTACATCATATTATCACATATTTTATTAAAATTATAATAATAAGTACAAATTTTGTGTACAATGTTTACACGTTAGAAGACTACCGGCGCTTAGGCGCTTTGATATTTTGACCCCAAATCAGCTATGCAGCGCCATTGCCTAAAAAATGTTCAATATTTTCAAAAAAAATCATAATACAAAAAAATCAAAAAATAGAAACAATCAACATTTTCAAAAATGTCATTTTTTTCAAAAATTTCAAAATTTTTCGAAAATCTATTTTTTTCAAAGTTTTTTTTTTAATTTTGTTTTTGGTACGGGAAGTTCCAGCAATTTGCCTTAAGGCACGATACCATACTCCACTAGTTTCACCTATTTTTAAAGACAAATAATAAATATAAAAAAGAAATGCACACATTTATTGATAGTCATACACAGCGCACTTGTTCAGAGTGATTCATTACAATTTCTTTTAACAATTCTCATAGTGCATGCATAACTAATAATTAGTCTCACTCTGATTATCACCTTTACCTGTTTGAGAAATTCATCTGACGAACGATTGATGTAGGCAGTATTTTCACTATTAATGTAATCAAAAGTGTTCTAATTACGTAGGTATTCTCGTATCGTTATACTTATTTTATATTTCCATATTCATAGTTATTACAATTTTATCGATGACGAACTTAATCCTGATTAATATCATGGTGGAATAAACTAATGGTCGTTTATCGAAGTTGTTTATACTTAATAATGATGTTTGCACATTTATGCATATATTACGTAATAGTGTTTAAAGTTTTATATTCATAATTTTATGCGATATTGCTGCGGCAACGTCGTAAAAGCTTACTAAAAATAAAGCAATATTAAAAGTTTTATTATATCAATATAATAAAACAAAGTATAAAAAAAGGCCGACTGATCGTTCTAATAGCCTAGTAACCCTTTGGCTACGAGCGTCACTTAACTAGCTGTGTGTACGAGTACGATCTTTAGAAGATATCCATTGTGTCGAATTTTAGTAAAATTATCATGAGTTTTTTTGTCATTTAAATACATTTTTAAGCCATCTTCATTATCTAAAAAATAAGCAAATTATTAAATTTTTTAATGATATTGGTATTTCAAAGTAGAAGGCAAAACATGTGTCACCTTAAATACATTTTATCAATAATGATAGACAAATCTTGAAACATTTTGTGTAACAATTACAGGGGCGGCTTTTCAAATCAATACAAATCATTTATTATTGATTCGTATACAAATATAATTATTGACAGCCAGGTAGACAGGTAGACAGATAGGTCATATAGACAGGTAGATAGGTAAACAGCGAGGGATGTATGAATGTAGAAAGGTGAACGAGTAAATAGGTAGACGGGTAAAAAGGTAGTAAAGTGGAGAATAGTATTGTAGAAGTAAACAGGCAGACAGGTAGACATGTAGCCAGATAGATAAACAGTTGAACCGGAAGTGAAGCAGACAGGTAAACAGGTAGACATGTTAACGGGTAAAGAGCAGAAAAGTAGATATATAGGTAGGATGACTAATAGGCGGACGGGTAAAAATGGTAGACGGGTAAAAATGGTAGACAGGTAGACATGTAAACATACTAAGTTGAAAATTATAAAGATAGACAGGTAAACAAGTGAACTGTAATAGATGTAGATAAGTAGACAGGTGGACAGAAAGACGGATAGACATGTAGACAGGTGTAGATGATATATCTATGATTCAAAAAACTATTTTTGAATAAACCGATTATAAACACTTATCACAAAGTTCATGCAACTTGTCACAAAGGCAAAATGCAACTTACAACTATACTATTAATATCCTAAGTTTAATTTAATTTTTCGATTCCTGTGCATTATTAATCAAGAAGCTCCTCCTTCTATGAAATGTATGCTTATTCAGCCTGGGTAAACAAAGCATCATGACATAATATTATTGGAAATTTACATCAATAAACATTCTGAAGTAATGTTTCTCTTAATTAAGACACAAGCACGAAATTATGTTATCTCAAGTAAAACGTAAACCTAAACCTAATCTGCCACAGTATGTAAAATAGCATACATGTAAAGGGGACGTCCATTAATCACGTGACCGATATTTTAGAGATTTTTGGACCCCTCCTCCCCCTTGGTGATACGTGGTGATATTTAAAATTATCCTCCCACCAAACATTACGTGTATCTTTAGTTATGAGAAAAAATCGTATATTTTTTTTAATGTGTGATTTTTTTTTTTTAAAGTTTATGTAAAAAATAAATACACGTGATATCTTACTAGACCCCTCCCTCCCCCAAACTATATTTCATGATTTTATGCCAAATCCCCCTTTACCCTGAAGATTCATGTGATTAATGGACGCTCGCCAAATCAGTCAATAAAGATTGAGCTTTTGGATCTATGATCTATTGTTTAATTATTTTCAGGCATTTAGCAAACAAATAATTTTAATATTGGCTCTATGTTTTTTTATTAAATTCAATAGCAACATATGGAAGAGGTTAATCTCTTTTGACTTGTTCTTTTGTAAATTAAGATCTTTTGAATTTAAAAGTGATTAAATTTTTTTAATGCAAATTATATTCGAGCAAAGTGTCATTTGGCTCCTAAACAAGCTGCATGATTAAAACGCTTTTTGTAATAAACTTATAATATTGTTTTGAAGAAAATCTATTTTTTTTTGTAATTACAATATTTATTACAACTGTTAAATAGTTTAACATCTAGTAATAATAATAAACAATAACATAAATTTAAATAAATAAGAGTACAAAGAATAGAATTTATATTAAAATGATATCATGATGATTTAATATAAAATAAAAGCAAATAATAATAAAAATAAAATAAATAAAATTTCTGAATAATAAAATGATACTAGAAAAACAATAAAGTGGATTTAAAACAATAAATGTTAGATAATAACAATATTAGAAATAATAAGATAATAACAATAATAATAATAATAATCTAATGGAAATAGAAAGCACATTTTTCTTGAAAGATTTTCTTGAAATTAGCAAATATGATTTTTGAACAAACATAAACTTTCTTTTTTTATCTTTTCAAAGACATTAGTATAGGTGTTCTTAAATATAATAATTTTAAAATGCTATTTTTAAATTATAATTTTGAATTGTTATATCAGTTTTCAGAAATGCGCGGTCGTGGTTATTACTTATTTCTTTGCTCATGTCGAATGAATATGATACATGGAATATGAATCATGTAATCGATTACGAAATTCCATTTCTTGGTTTACAACAACCAATTATCACTTATAATCTTATCACTTGATACCAACATTATATATGATAATTATTATTTTTTATTCATTCTTCCTGATACTTGCTATAGAAAATACTCAAAATTCGGGGTTATTTGTGTAAAAAGGCTGCTGGTAGGTAAGTGGCTAAAGTGTACTTGAATCAAAAGTTGATGTCAAGCAGTAGTGACATCAGTTTTTACTTAGAAATATAGATAGCAATGTATTTTCAAGTAAAAATAGCCCTTACCCAGATACTGCTGCATTACTTTTACAATAATTGTAATAATAATAATCAATATATACAGATGAGTCAAGTGTTTTGGGTTGCTTTCTATAATTAGCAAACGTAGTTTGTAAGAAATTACTGAGAAACAGCTGATAAAACTCTTGAAGTTCTGATTGCTGTTCAAATAAATAATAATAGAAAAATGTATGCAAATAAATCCTGAAACGAATAATGCAAACCAACAGGTTGTCCTCTGATTAAAGGCTGACGAAATAAAATATCAGAAAAATAAATTAATAAAAAAATTAAAAAAAATATTTAAACTTGAGATTAATTTGTACTCAAATTCGGCATAATGATAGGGTTTCTATACAAATGTTTTTCCCTTATCTTCAAACATGAACTGAAAAATTCTAATAAATTTGTAATTTGAGAATTTGAAAATCTTTTACCTTATTTTATAATATCTGTTTTTTTTTCAGATTTCACCCAGTTACGATCTTTGCGACGTTTGGACGTGAGTTACAACGGCATAAAGTGCCTGCCTCCGAGTGTCGGTGAGCTTCGAAACTTGGAAGAACTTTCCGTCGACAGCAATCCGCTGTTCGAATTGCCACCTTCCGTGTTTTCCTTACCACGTCTGAGGGAATTGAGCGCAAATTGTAAGTCAAACTTTACCTTAAATTGCACTTGAGTTATACTAAGGCATTAATTAACATGGTTACTTCTGTCCTTAACGAATCAAATTTGGATTATCGGACCTCTTGATAATTGATAACATCATAGATTAGATTACTGATCGTAGAAAAACTGAATATGTAAATGTAGTCAGTAACTGATAATTTTAATTTCATATTGTAAACCTGATGTGCTTATTGTTGAACAGTCTGTAATTGAAACTTACGTTACCAACGGCTACTTCTGGATACATTCAAGTGTCCTTAGATGATTTTTACCATCAGTTAATAGTTGTCCTCTGAAACACTTCTGTCGCCTTCGTTTTTCTGATAAATTGGGATGTACAAATATAATTATGATATAATTATATCAATGAAGATATTTTATACTAGTTAGTGGTGAGACAAGAAGGATGAGTTTCGGCTCCAAAGTGTATACTTAATGTCTGTATATTTGATCAAACCCATAAAAATTGATGTGCCACTTCAATGCTAATTAAATAGACTTTTTTGAAAAAAATTCAACAATATTTGAAATATATAGAATTTTAAATAATGAAAATGATCCAGCAACTGATAATTAGACCTGATTTGGTTATCAATATTCAGCATTTTTATGAAAATAATGTTATCATCAGCAATTTTTGGATACCTCCAAGTGTCGTAATAAGAACTCTACGAACAGGTTGTCTTCTGGCATAATTTTGATCATCTTCTTTTTTTGATAAATTGGTACAATACTTATATTATAGTATGATTATCGTATTAAAGATATGTTGTGCTATTTAGTGATACAAGCAAGATGAATTTCGATGCCAAAGTGATCTAACTAAAATCTAATGTCTTTCTAATTGATCAAACGAAAAACGAATTTAAAAATATTAAATTAAAAGCAATAAAAAAATATGTTGCAAAAGTTTAACAATATTTGAAATTTTGCATATGTGCAAAAATGTGCTCAAGTCTGCTAATATAATCTCTTATATACCCATTAGGGCGGGCCAATTTAAAAGTCGTATAGACTCATATAATTTTCGGATACTAGGGATCATAATAAGATACTTCGCTGAAGAATCCAAACGTTGAACTTTAAAATAAATCCATTTTGACCCATTTATAGAGCAAATATCATATTTTGGTCCCCAGATTTCCGAAAATAATATGTGCCTACGCGACTTTTTTGACCCAGACAAATCGATCCATTTAATAGCTGTAATATCCACATATTAGTTATTTAGTATAAGAACCTGCAATAACTATTTTTCCTGAAATCAGTAAAAAATTAGCACAATTTTTTCCGCATAGAACATCTAATCGTGGTAAATCGTGCTTTTAATGAAATATTTTTACAGAATTATCTATGCAAATACTTCTGATTATCTCACTTTCAAACACGGGAAGTAGTTTTTGTTTAGGATTTTACATACTTCGTTACTCTATTTAGCTTTAAAATTTATTAATCATCAGATTTCGAGAAAATTTAGAATTTAAAAAGATTTTTCTGTAAAAAAGTAAAATAATGTATACTTTAGTTAATGATCAATATAATTCAGAACAAATTTCTCTTTAATAATTAATAAAATGAATGAATGAAATAAATAGACATGTTTTTAACCAGCATTGTTGTTCGAATTCTTGTTTTTATAAACATGCTAAACCAATCGTGATACAATTGATTATTTTGAAAAGTTTCATATTACTTATTGAGTTTATTAAACTCCAGGTGTTTATATATTAGTGATGTGTATGATTATAACTAATTAAGTAATAGGCAATATGTTAAATGTTAAAAGAGTGTAAATTAGGGTATAAATAAGTTATCAGCTAGTGTTGCCATTGCCAGGTTTTCTGAATTTGATAGTGAATTTTTTGGAAAGTACATAAATATGAAGTTAATGCAACTAGTATATATGAGAAATAATTAATTAATTTGGACATTAACAGGTTGTGATTTGCGCTGCTTACCAGCATTACCATTGGCCGCTGATCCTCTGCCTAATATTATTTTCAAGCTGAACCCTGCCCTGAAACATGTACCCTTGACTCTTGAACCTCTGTTTGATATCAATCCACATATCAGCACACGATTTTGGTAATTGGAAACATATAATCAATTATATATTTGTATTACCTTCACTGGTACGTCAACCTGATGCATTTACAAATTGATTGCAGGACATACGATTCGACAGAATTTTTCCATCCAAGACAAATCCATGTAAAAGTAGTCAATACTGAAAATTTACCAGAAATCGATGTTTATTTATATTCGGGTATCAAACATGTTTCACAATATTTTGCTCCAAAAATGCCAACATTGTTCGAATTGGCCTTGCGGAAAACACATGCTATTTTGAGCAAAACCTCTTTCTTTCTGGATGAGAATGAAAACTGTGATGATGAAGATTATAATGAATTTTATGATAGTGATTATGATGGGGAGGGTCATTATTATGTGAACGGAAAAAGTTTTATAAAAATGACTCATGAAGTAATGCATGTTGAGGAACTACCTCTACATCTGAGTTCTCAGTTAAAAGAAGGGCCGAATGCCGTTTGCCACAACTGCAAAATTGGATTGTTTGAATATGGAGTGCTCTGCTTTTTAAACAGGTATGATAATGAGAAATTTTAATATAGGAGGGAGGTGCTTGCAAGTAAGTTACTTTGGGGAACTGTTTACAGACTAGCATATTAAATTTCGCAATAATGCCAAATTTTATAGGGTAGAGAGGGGCTCAAAGGTCCGCGGGTAAATAGATCTACTACCGATATCTTAAAAACAAGTAAAGTTAAAAATTTATTAACAACAATATTTGGAAGTAGAAGGAAAGAGATTATCAATCAGCTATCACTTTGATTCTTAGGATGATGCTATCAGGAGATAAACGGCAAAGATTGAAAATCCATAACAAAAGTAATTTTTTAGGTCGTTAGATTTTTTATTGAGAGCACTGTTCTCTAGTTTTCGAGACCTTAATATAATTTTTAAGTATATTTTATGTTTTAATACACCTAGTGTTGTTAATTTTAAGTTAGTACCCACTAATTGAAATACCACCATAAACTCACTATATGAAAACTTACACATGGGTTCTGGAGTAAAAGGCCAACTGATTTTTTACCCTGGCAAAGGTGTAAACAATGAAAAATACCAAATTTAGAAGTAAATTAAGCAATTTTACAAGAGTTAAATTGAATAAATAGTCATTCCAACTTTGCTGGTGAACATATCTGAAGTACCAGATCAAGGTCTGTGAAAAATTATCCCATAAAATTTATATTTTGATTTGGTTAAATAATGTAGCAATTATTTAGTAAAATTTCGTTAGAATTAAAAATAAGACTTAGACCGGGCCTATTTTACCCCGTATATGGGGAGAAAAGTACCAGGTGACAAATTTTTGAAAAACAGTTGAAAAACACATTTCTACAATAATGAATTTTGCTGAGCATAGTCAGATAGATGTTTGTTTGATATCTGTTATTTATTGTGATGTAATCGGTTCGGTTTTCACAATATAATTGCTCAAAGTCAAATTAGACTTTTGTGCCTTGCCCTACCCAATATAAAGAACGAAACAAGACATATTTTAATTTATTTACAGAATCACAGGGTTTTAAAAAAACTGGGGCTTGTTATCTGAAAAATGGTATAGGGAACACTCTAATCATAAAAACAAAGTATCTGTAAATACTTTGTGATTTTTTCAAATGAACTTAAGACTTTGAAAAAATTATTACCTATAAAACGATCATGTTACATGTCGCGCAAATTTTAATGCCACATATCACAGCTTACTGTGGTGAAAATTTGTCAAATAAATGATTAATTTTTTTCTTCATTTCACTTTATTTTAACAATCAGAAATTCAAATATAATTTCTATGAGCTAAACTGTACGTTTAAATAAGTATGATATTATATAAGATAGTAGTGAATACTTTTAAATAATTCCAATATTTATACACTGCACACCTCTCTCCTATTGTTTTTGATTACAATAATGAAAGATATATGTAATGTGGTCGAAAAAAATTATATATATTTATTTTAGGCCCGTCAAAAGATTATTCGGCGATTCATACTTATTATGTAGTGCAATGTTTTGCGGAAGTAAATGCACGAGAATTTGGCTAGCAAATCATCCTAATGTAACTTTTATCCCTTGGAAACTAATTCCTAATCCAGTATCATGATATAATTCCTATATATATATATATATATATATATATATATATATATATATTACTACTACCCACCTATCTAGTTTTATCTGTGATAAGAAATAACTATATTTTTAAGCAAGACTATTTTTTTAATTTGTTGACTTTTATCATATTTTGTAAGAAATATTTATACATTTTTAAAAAAAATGTTTTGAATGATTACAGTATTATAGCTTAAATTGGAACAATTTCAGTTGTATAAGTTTAGTCATTTTTTGCCAAAATGTATTGTACTTCGTGACTGGGGTAAGACTGGGTACGGTTGTGCCATTTTTCTTTAAGCAGTCATAATTTTTTTTTGTATTGAATTTTGCTATCCCTTTCTTTTTCATATTTTGTCTTACGATTAGTTGAGTTAGATTTTTCCTTATATATTTAATCTTCATTCGAGAAGCACAAGATCTACAAACACATGTCACAACCGTACTCAAAACACACTTTTGAGATCAAATCTTTGTTATGGCTGAGCTAAATTGCTGGTAATTATCTACTGATGTTTAATTTACAGAAAAATAACAAACAAAGTGATCCATTTATATTCAAGAAACAGTACTTAAAACTTTATTTAAACTTTTTTTTGATGCTTTAAAAGTGGCCTATGCAAGAGTCAGTATAATTTAGCCTATGGTGACTGTCACTACTATGGCGTATCGTGGCACAACCGTACCCAGTATCCCCTGCTCCCCTGAATTATTAGATTAAGCATTTATTAATTTTTGTAATAGATCACTTGCTCCAGACATTTATTGACTACAAGATTTTTAACTTTAATTTTAATTCAAGTTTTAATAGTTACTATTGTTGGAGCTAGAATTCTTGCAGATTCTACCATTTTGAATGAACTGGTATTACTTATATGATAACTTATGAACTACATGATGTATATCCATAACTAAGATTACTGTTTTTAATTGAAGTCGAGTTTAAATGAAAATAGTAAAGATTGCATACATTCCGTTTGCGCAAATCGTGAATAAGTCAAATGAAATATACCACGTATTAAAAATCTAATGAGAAAAATATTCTTTATTGACCACAACCACACAATATTACATATATTAATATATAAATAACTACTGTCATTGACTTGACTTTTCATCAAAATCATTGATCAAGTCCTCTTTTTCCAACTCGACTACATTTTGGACTTTAGGCTGAGAAGAGACTGAAATATTGTAATATTTAGAATTAATTAGGTACTGTTAATTATAATTTAGTTATAATTAATATAAATTAAAGTATATTATTTTTGTTGTATATAAGCGTATATTATACATTTATTTGCAAAGTATCGTACTAAATTAACATTTAATTCAATTATGGTTATACCAGAAAAAACTATTTATTTAGAAACAATGTTAAATATATAGTTTTTTAAAAAATTACGAAGGTATTAAGAAATTATTCATCTATATAGTTTCATGCTGTTTGGTACTATCAAATATAACGTTGCTAAATAATTTAAATAATGATTCGTGATTATTAAATAATTGCGACGACTAGGAACGTTAAAAATTAAAAAAAAATAATTATTTCAATATCCAATAACCGTACGTTTATTCTCTACTTAAAATTTTACTATTGAGTAGAGTAAGTCGATAATGTTAGAAATATCTAATTATTATGATTATAATTAATTATGATTATTTTATCATATCTACTCTTTATTAAAAAGATAAGTTGTTGTGAATTACTATATTATTTGCGCTAAGACAATAAAATATCTGAGATTTAAATTTACCTGTTTTCCTATATGTATGGCTAGAACACCATCGTCTTCCGAATGTAAAATCTCGACATAAGCTTTTCCATCAGGTGATACGTCTACAGTTTTACCGGAACACCTGCCATTTTCCGCTTTTCCAGATATTACATCGCAATATTTTCCGGCAGGCAAACAAGTCTAGAATTATTAAATTAATCAATCATTTATTAAATAAATCAATAAAAATAAATTAAATGAAAAGAATAGCATAATAAATATTTCTTATATCTACCACTATTTTCAATATTTTCCACAATTAAAACATATTATCTTTTTTTTATTCGTCAAAAATTATTTTGCAAAGTCTTTCAGAAGTGATGTTCTGCTCATCATGTATTAGAAGACGGTTGATGTTTGACAAAAAATGTTTGTTATATTTTTCTATTCTTAAATTAAGTTTAAATTTGTACTATTTATTTAAAAAATATTTTAATGGGAACATTGGTGTAATTTTCTATTAATTGTTAGATATATCTTCAATATCAAATGTTATCCGCTGTTAAATATTGGAAAATAAACACAGGAAAAACTTCTTAAACTACAATAAAAACTGTTAGAATAATTTAACAATATTTAAAATATTTTTATTTCATTCATGATAAAGAAAAGTAGTCAATTTTCATATATTTGGCTAAAAATTACCTGAAGCGTTTGTTGCAAATTCTGTTGATTTTCATTATTGAAAACTACTAGACCAGCACAACCGCGTGTAAATGCAATCTGGTTTGAACCATTATCCCACCAATATTGAATTTTATTATTTTGGACCACATTTCTAAAAGCCACCATTGAGTAAATTTGTCTCCATCTATGCTCACATATCCATCCGTTGGTACAGGCACCAGTCTAAAAATATTATAATATTATAATTTGAAAATTAATTTTTACTCGTGATATGCAATGCAGGATATATTTTTTATTTTCAGGATTATTAATATTATTGGTCGTTTTATCATAATACTTGCATTTGCATCAAACTGCGGTGACACGATATTTCCAGATTGATCTTGTGGAGGACCTTGGTCACTATTGCTAAAACCAAAGCTTGACATCAGTCTAGGTAGACCATATGGATGAGCCAAAGTAAAGGCAATTGCCATTTTATATTGTTTAGGCTGCTTATGAGTTAATATTTCTGAACCACCACTTCCATGGCCTCGCTGAAAAACAGAAATACTTGTAATACACATTTGGGATAGATATAATGAAATTGCTTCATGAATTTTATTAATTATGAATAACCAATTCGTCATTTGTGAATGCAATTACGCAAGCAACCAACTAGCTATTGGCGATAGATATGATACTGGTTCATATATAAAATTAACCTGGTTATCGTGATTGTCAACAAATACAAGCGCCTTATCATCTGACAGCATACCCCATGCAGGACCCCAGTTGACCAGCCATTTCAAGGCATTGTGACCCCGGAAGGCTCTTCCAATTTCAGCACTGAATTTGAATTCAGTTACTCGTCCTATGTTTGTGTATTCGTTTTTGGACACTGCTTCACCACCTATTTATGAATTAATGACTGTTAGAGATACTTAGAATTGGTAATTTATAGTCAGTAATTAAATTCGGAGTAATTTTACAGCCAAATCGATAATCGAGCAGATAAATTAGATGAGGAATAGAATCATATAGTTGCTCGAATGTTGTTTTATACTTTCATAATGCTCTGAATATTTGAGTATTTTACCATATGAAGATTATAATAGCATTTGAAAGATATGAATTAGGCAGTGCGTTGATCAAGTTTTGATTAGAAATAATATATCTGTTATCAAGCTTTTTGCAGAAAAAATGTGCAAAGAATTTTCATACCTAGGTCAATGACTTCTTGATAAATAAAAGGTCTAGCCCCATCGTTGAATCCGTGAGCAGGGTTCAGATTTCTTACAGCATTATATATAAAAGCCAGATCTGAGGGCCACATATGTTTAGCAGCGTCGACCCTATAATTTTTTTCAATCATGAGTCTTTTCATCAATCTCGTAATGTATTAACAATTATTTATCAATTTTACCGGAATCCAGCCACGCCTAAATCAACCAATTTGTTGAGAAAATCGATGATCTTCTTCCTTGTCCAATCCTTGGATTGATCCAAATCATGCAAACCTACTAATTCGCAGTTTCTAACCTCTTGCGCGTTTGTATAATCGGTAATTGTACATGGGGGGTGGAAATCTCCTGGACCATATGGTACTAAATAAAAGATTCAAATAAAATCAGATATTGGAAGAAGCGTGATTTTTTATTAATAAACTTATCGATCTGTCTAATAATATTGTACCTTCTGGATATTGGCGCTCTTCTGGTACTGCTGTACCTCCTCCAGTTCCAGTGGCATGGCCATGGTTTCCGCACATGTGATTAATAACCACATCTACATAAATTCTAATAAAAGATTAAACTAATTTTAAGTTAAAGGTATTTTTATGTTAAGGTTGTTTTTCATTATGAAGAAAGTTGAACAAAGTTGAAAGTGAAACAAAAGTTGAAGAGTACCAAAATTTGGAACCGTTGCTAACTTCAAAACATTTTTTACTGAAGTAAGACTATTTTGGGATATGTTCTCAATCACTGAATTACTGAACATACAACAAATTCAACAAATACAAAAGATAGCGAATTTCTCGTGAACATATTTTATAGTTTTTTATAGTTTTTTTTATAGTAATAATAATAGAACTCAGAACTCTTCTCAGAGTTCTTTGAGCTGTTGAGATGATTTTCAATATGTATTTATTTTATAGGATTTATATATACGTCGGCACTTGCATTTACATAAAATACAGACAGATAAAAAATATTACTACAAATATTATTTGCATAATTTATTTGTAAATAATCTCCACATACCTCACTCCTACTTGATTACATCGCCTGACCATGTCAGCAAAATCTCCTTCATTTCCAGAGCGTGTTACTATTTTATATGAAATTGGCTGATATCGTTCCCACCATGGTCTATTCTCGATAACTATATTTTCGTTAACTGGCGATACCTGCCAAATATAATAGTTATTTATTTTTTTTCCTATAAATTTACACCTGTCCAGTTTAGGACGTATAGCAATTGTCATGATTTACTGGTGTCAATTGTATAAAAGATATTATATTTATAATGACAACTCAAAAGACCACTAAATAGATAAATTCTAAGGATATTCTAATGACTATAAAGTGTATTCTTTCAAATAATAAAAATAAGGTGAGAATTTTGTTCTCAACTTAGATCAAGTGGCGATTTTCTTTTCAACCTTCTACAGTAGTTTTTGTTGAATAAAATATAAAATTTGCATTCATGTTGGCAGTTTGATTATTCATATTATTTTAGAAAGTATAATGCAAGCTTTTAAAACATAACAAGTAAAGTTATATACGTTATTCTTCTTAAACTATAAAAATAAATTGTTTTGATACCATTTGTTCCTTTCTCTACATTTCACATCATTAATGAGAACTATCATCATCGTAGAATACAGTCAAATCTAATCTCGAATATTATTGGAACCTCCATTGTGATATAAATAATCATTTGACTTTGGTCTCAATAAGATAAAAATCTTAGAAATATATATCTTTTTAAACCTCTTATATAGGATAAGGTGGTCAGGTGAGGCGTGTCGAATCCACTGGGATATTATTTGAAATATAATGATATGCATAAATATGTGATAGCACTAGGATATTATTTGAACCATCATGATATGTAAGAATTACGAAGATCGAAAGTACAGTTCATTAGTTTATTAGAAATACATACTTGGACACCAGCAAAGCCATTTGGTGCCAAAAATCTTTCACATTCTGCTGCAACATCGCGCCATGTCCATTCGAATAAATGGACGATTCCTGATCGTCCTGGTTCATGATGAGCATCAAACTGTGCATTGATCGCATTTTGTTCTAACAAGATTACAAAAGCGATGATATATAACCATTTTAACATATTTGGTTATGTATAATAAAATTCTGAAGTACTTTTCACCTGCAAATGATCCAAAATTAATCCACATGAGCTTTTATGGATTTACGGTATATAATATTGTCTATAATTAAATGCTAAATTTGGCTATTCGTAGTTTCCAATATTTTATTAACTATCATTCATGAATTTTATTACATAATTTTATATTGGCTTCAATAAATGATAAATGATAATTAACTGTTGGACGATTCGTATATATGAATAATAAAATAGGGTAAAAATACTAAAAATAGATCAACTGCTTATTATTTAGCTATCTTGCACTTAACAATAAAAACGCAAGAATTCCAAAATTTAGCAGATATAGCCTGTACTAAATAAGATATAGATTTTTTCTAGAGAAACTTGAATTTATAAATGCTTATAATGTGTTACAAAAAAAACAAGCTGTTTTCTTCAAAATTATACATATTTGGGATCTTTGCAATCTAAGATATCAAGGTTTTGAAAATCAGACGCCACGTTATCGGGATATTCATATCGTGTTTTTAAAAAATTCAATTGCCTCAATTTTTTGAAAATTATTAAAAGAAAATTATTTTCAAAATTTCGAAGACATCAATCTTGTTTCGGGCTTTGGTTTCTTTTTTAACTTTTCTTAGGGTAAGTTATAGTAATCGCAAATGAAAATTTTTATATATCTTTACGTTTCAAAACTTTCTGAACATTTTGGCATACTTTAGAAAAATGGATGTATGAGTGTATGTGTGTATGTGTGTGTGTGTGTGTGTGTGCGGATACAAATTTTCGTCGACGATTTCGGGAACACAGTTCGACCGATTTCAAATATTCAAAAAACATTCGATTGCTGTTGATAAGGAGACGTGCTGATTAGTTTTTGGCATAGGCAGGTATAGCCGTTTCAACGATACGGGACAAAAAGTGCCAAAAACGGTAACTCAGTTTTTAAGAGAACGGAGCGTTCGATTTTAATAATTCAAAAAACATTTTACTTGTATTGACAAGGTGAAAAACTGATTAAATTTTTGGGAAGCAGGTCCAGCGGTTATGGACTCTCAATAAAAATAAGTTAAAAAATGTCATTTGGCGGTCAAAAATGTTTATAGGACATATGTACATCAAATTATCAGATATTTTATAGAGCTTTTAATAATGTGTACATATTTTGTGTAATTTTTTTGGGTTCCGTATCAAGAACGGATTACAGTACGCGAAGTTCCAGCACTTTACCTTAAGACACGATGCCATTCACCCACTAGTTTGTTATATAATTTGTTACTTGTATCATTAATTTGGAGTGCTAAATTTTTGTTTAGTGATTAACTTCATTTAAACATTTTTATTTACATTTGAGGAGTTCTGATAATTTGTCAATAGGCAAAATTTCACACACTATAATACAGATTCATTAATTTAATAATGCTTGTAAATTATGAAGTTCAAAACTGTCATTGTAAATACTTCCCACTAAGATAAACTCATGGGAAAGAAATAATTTTAATGAAGTTTATTTAATAAAAATTATTTATAATTTGTCTGTAGATAACTCATAGTTTCAACAAATGATGATTAACAAGATTATGAATAATGAAATGATGTATGTGAATTTATTGCTTAAAATTGTTTAGGATAACTCTAAACAATATATTTGCAATCCTATGAATTAAAAATTTGATTTTTTTATAATTTAGAACAACTTACCGTTTACCAATCTGTTCCGCAACAATTTATGTTTACACACAATATTTTCCAAATAATTTATTGGTACTATATCAGTTTAATACGATAATTAAACAGCAAAACACTCATTAAATATAACACATTAATTTGTCGTATGTGTTTTATCGTATATGGTTTGTGCACAATAGGATATATGTAACGTTGTTTTGATATTGTAATCATAATCTTAATGACAAAACATATGAATAATACTATAAATAAAGATATCATATCAAGATGAGATAATTAATCAGTATTTCAAAACATTATTATATATTAAGATATTGTAATTTTATCGCTGTATTGGCATAACAATTTCCAAAATAGACGGTGTGCAAAAAATTGTTATATAAGGGAGACTGGGTACGGTAGTAACAGTTGTCATAAAAGCTAAACTACATATACTGATTTTGAGATAGGGTCCAAAAGGAGAAATGCTGAAGTATGATTGTTTGGACAAGTTCTCATTATTGCTTTTAGTCAGTGTCTTACATTTACGTGATCTGTAGACCACATTGTTTTTAAACAGTCAAAAGTAAGTTTTTATGATCGAATTCTTTTAATAATAACTATTAATTGTATACAGGTAGATTACTTTTTTTGTTATATTGCTGTAAGCTGAACATTAGTAGTTATTAACAAGCAATTAGTTTTTGTTAAATAATTTAGCTTAGGCATAATGATGATTTGTTTTCAAAAGTGTGCGTTGTGGGAAATTTTGGGGTACGGTTGTGACACGTATTTCTTGTCCTTTTCGGGCAAAGATTAAACGAATAAAAAATCTAACTTAACTAAGGCAAAATATAGAAGAGAAAGGCAAAGGAAAATTCAATATAGGTAAAAAAATCACAAAGAACTCTTGTTAAATTTATTTAAAAAATTATGTTTTGTCATATATTGTTATATATTTTTCATATATTGTCTATATTATTTTCTTACTGTTTTGATTCTTGAAAAATTATCTTCATTTTTAGAATCAATGGATAATATTTGGATATTAAAAAAAACACTATTTATTAGCAGAAATAAACTGAAATAATAATTATAGTGCTCATAGATTTTTTTATTAGTTTATTTTTTGGTTGTCTTTTTTAGTTGTATTTTTTAGTTTTAGGTGCAAAATCACGGAGTAACCTAAATATCAATGGAAGTAATTCTAGTATATTAATGCATTTACATTAGAGTGGTATGCAAAGATAAAAAAGTACTTGATTGTTAACCGTAAAATGGTAGAATATTATTAGATCTTTTAAGCAATTTTAGTAAGTACCAACAAATGAACGAATATGTCTGTCGTTTAGCATCGGACACTAAGTCCTCTCTTAGCGCTGGCCAGTAAACATATTGATATTTCTTGTAAGAATTGACGTAATTTATAATAATTATTTAATTTTGTTCTATGTGAGTGCTAACGGTCACTACATACCCCCATTTTTTGTATTTCCTAGTCAAAAAATGAAAAGCTTATGATGAATGCTCTAGCTGTGAACATCGGTGTGTTCCAGCCAAAATGGTGGATGAATAGTGATTTTTTTTGCAATATCTAAGAATATTTGTCAAACACATATATGCAGACCTTTCAGAGTGTGAAGATAGTACATATGTGTTCAATGCAGGTTAATTTGAAATGTCCGGTACTAGGTGCTACTTTTTCAAATCAAATTTTTTGTTATCAAAGTTTGATCGATAGTTTCAATTATTTTTTAGCAATGGTTGCGTTTTTGTTAATTTAGTTTGATTTCTACCTTTGTTATCTAACATAAGTCATAATTTAATAAACATTTCGCAAAATATTTTTAATTTATTTATAATTAACCTTAGGTGTCCGCCACTCGGGGACTTCCCCATATGTAAAGTATTTATATAAAATGCATAGTAATACAATTTGCTAACTATTTATAACTTTATTATTATAATCGTTTGAACCATAATTTATATTGTCTAGTATTTAAAGTACAATTATCAGAAATTTAGATATATTGTTAATAGAAGTTAATAGCGGAAAACTGTTCCATCGGCCGGTTGTCTAGAATATCCTGGATTGGTAAGTGGTGAATGGTGTCCACTGTTCATCAACTTTACTTGATGTGGTGACATCCTCTCTTTTAGTCCTGCTATCTGGAGAGGATGCCCCTGTAAAAATAAATAATCATTATATAATTATGAGTGGTCTGCCTGAAAAACGGGGCCCAACTCATGATCGAACTCAATATTGCCAAACGATGTTAACATGACCAATGATGACAATAAATTTAAAAGAAAAATAAAGAAATTTATAAGGAAATTGGAGACAAAGAAGACTGAAGAGTTATATAAAAATATTTTAATTATAATAGATATTATATTAATGAAATAATCAAATGAAATGTATATATAAATTAGGTAAACTGATTTCGTAACCTCTCATAATACCAGGCACTTCTGTCTGTCTGAGATATGAAAATAATGTATATATATATATATATATATATATATAAATAAAAATAAATAAAAAATATTGATTCTCTGTTAATCAGAGACCTGGTCTTTAAGGAAGGCCAATATCTGGAACATAGATAAGGAACCAAGATGATGTGGAAGGTGCTGGATACTGATATGGAGGAGATAAATTGAATTGGCAAAGTAACTAATAAAGAAGTATTGCAGAAAGTGAAGAGAAAAAGGATTTATATTGCATGGATAAAATTTTGAAAAGAACATTTTACTGCTTTCTACTGCAGGGACTGATGGTACCGCAAGAGCAGATGGTGGACTGAAGTTGGTGAAAAGTTTTAATCTGACTTATAAACACAATTTCTTTATGCTGGAGTTAATTGTCTAAGTTAAAAATTATTTCATCTTCTCTCTACTAAAAAGTAATATATGACATATTCTTATTACTTCTTCATGTTTGAAAGAGTTCTACCATAAACTAATCTATAGCATTTAATGAATTATTTGTATATACGAGTTTTGGTGTGATCAGATTGTATTTTTTTAAATATTTTTTTTTTTTTACCAAAGCAATAATTCGTTCCCGTTTTAGTTCCCTGGTGTTTGTCAATCTCCTCCACGGTTTCCCTCTTGCATTTGTATAATTATCGCCATACTCCACGCATGGTGGTGCCAATTCGGCCACATTGCTAATGGTGTCCTGCTGCAGGACTATATCTACAGGATCAGGAAACAATTCTAAACTATGGTTGTAGTTTGACATCATTTTATTGTCTAAACTATCGAGTGGAACTCTGAAAGAACAAAAAATGCGGAAAATAAATTAACGACTTGTTACAATTCATGATAACTAGAATATCTATAAATTTACTTCCACTTAATGCTAAAATTTAAACTTTGGTATTGTATGCTCCCTTTTAGATTGTGGAAGTGCTTGGCATTAGTAGTAAAAATGCTATAATCTTTCTATTATGTTGAAGTAAACCTTTCAGTTTAGAAGTCTAACAAATTCGTCTTAATTTTACTCCTAACAAAGCCGCAAATCACTAGACGTTCATGTTGTTTCATGAATCAAAGGCAAAATAAATAATGCTCACCGCTTGGGAACGAAAATAGCGCATTGCCTTATGCTGGCCAAAGTATGATGATTGGACAATCGCTCGTGCCAGGGTAGTCCTTTGTACCAGGGCTTGAGACAGCCTGGTGGTCCTGGAAGTTCTTTAATCCATACCCCTTCAGATCTGATGTGGGGGCGCCAGTCGTTGTTGACAACCCTCTCCGAGAGGTTTTCTGGCGGCATGCTGTGGAATATAAAAATTTAGTCAGTTGTGAGTCGGACTCGTATCAATATATGACTACTATACTTTCTCAAGTAGAATAAAAAATAGTCAGTTTCGAGTCGGACTCGTTTAATAAGGTTTTTATTGTACTTGTATTATTGTCAACTCTGAGACAACAATATATGACTCCCATATTTTCTTATATAGAATGACAAAATTAAGTCAATTGCGAGTTGGACTCTTCAAATACGATTTCTATTGATTACTATTTAAATACGATTGTATTATTGTCAATTCTAATTGTAATACAACTATATGATTACTATAATTTGTCAAGTAGGCCCAGTACGCATACAAACTTTTTTTAATAATTAATTATTATATAAAAATACTGCACTTAAAATTTACAACTAACTAGAATCCCATTGAAAATAATTTTTAGAACAAATTGTATTGAGGGATCTACGAAAATCCTTTCCTGCAATTCGTTATGAAAAATTAAATAATGGTTTCTTCCATAATGCAATAATTTGATGCAAGACAATCAACTTATATTATTTATTCAATTTCTCAAAACTTCAGAATTTATTTAATAATTTAAAGCTGTTTCTTTAATTATTAATCATAATCTCTTATAAGGCACAATAAGAATTATTTTACTTAGACAATTTGTACCACTTAGAAAAAATTGCATAAAATATGCTCTAAAATAATTATTACTTAATTGGCAAAAAATATGGTGAACGTTTGTGGTTAAACAAATTAAATAAATTGCGTAACTAATTATTGATTTACATCAATGTTTTTAACAATAAACTATTTTAGAAACAATGATTATCAATTTATAACGAATTGCAGACAAGTTTTGAATATACATATTTTTCTTTGTATTTTATCAAACTTATATAATAATCGTAATCTATAAATTAAATTTTAATTTGTAGCGACAATTAAAAATAAATAAAATTAATCAAACTATCAAATTGCATTAACCATAATTATCAATGTCTGTATTATTTTAATAATGACACCGACTAATAATAGCATACATTTTTTGAACTTATTATAAAATTTAATTTTTTAGTTGTGAGTTTGCTTTATATACATATAATTTTTTTTTGGAAATATACGATTTTTATTGAGGAACTCATTTGACATATAAAATTAGTATGCGTACAAATTTTGTTTCAGAAATATTTCATATTTGGTACATTGATACATTATCTCTATTTTTTAAATCTAACAACCTTAAAATTAAATGTTAATAAATTTTCTTTATAAATTATTTACACCATTACAATTAACATATTGAATATTATTAATAATATTATTAACATGTCGTCATCTTCTTCGGAGCGGAGAAAATAACGTTACATTAATATATTTAATATTTTTAATAATTTAATGTATAGAAAATGAATAGCACTTACCTACAAAATTTTCAATAATATAGTGTATAAAAGAAACTTATCATAAAAATAGTACTTGTCATACAAAATATAGAAAACATTTGATTTCCGCCATGGCAACGGTGATCATGGAAATAAGGAAAACAATTTTCTAGAAAACTCATGAACTTGACTAGTCATTCTGATATTACCTAAGTAGTTGCATTGATTTATAGATTAGAAAAGATTCCAGAAGATTTTATACTCACTTAATTTATTATTGATTTTAGTTAGATGTAGGCTAAACAATATATATAGGTTGAACCATATCGAATATTTTCATATTCAAGTTGCAGATAGAATTATTACTTAAAAAATGAAAAATAAAATGTTTGTAAAAAAACAAAATTTACAGACTTTATATTAATAATTTGCTTCGAAGTGATAAATACGCTTACTAATTGAGTGAAAATATTATCTTTTTATTTTTATTGCTTAATAAATATGTATCTGAAGCTTTCTGATGGACGTTTCACGTTGTAATTATTGAAATTGAAATCTCTATTTTGTTAATTACTATATTGTGGATTTAACAGAATTTGGTTTAGTTAAATATAAAAGGTTGGAATAACTGGATTTGTTGTACTTGTATATCCTTTCTTTTATTATTAAAAATAATTCATTACATGTCCATTAATTTTATATATCTATTATATTTTCGATAATAGGAGGTTACAGTATATTGTCTTAAGTTACCATGCATTGCACCGCTATTTTAATTGCTGCTATTTAAAATAATATGTGTTTGAATCAAACACTGAAATATTATAAAAACCGAGCCTCTACTACGATTATTAAAAATAAGATTGTTGGAAATGCATTTTCAGCTTTTTGTCCTTTTAGAATTTGCGTGAAACTTCGGAAATATCATCCGGAATAGTATAAAAATTTTTGTGTGTATTTGTATAAATATGTACATTCAGAAAATAGAATTAAAAACATTGGTTTTTAAATTTTTTTGAAAATTCTAAATATATATCAAAGCGATCATATTAAAGCGACAAATTATATTTTGAAATGAATGGATAAAATGCTAAATGAATTTTAATTAAACTACGATTTTGAAGTCTATATTGTAAATTTTAGAAATATTACATTGAATTAAATTTTTCGGAAAGATAAAACTGCTAGAATATGCTTATTTTATACTAAATCATTCAAAAATTCTTGCAGATGAATTAAATATTATCAATATTTTAATGATTTGGTAGTACACAAAAATTATTATTACGCAACAAAACAAAAATCATCTTTTCAGAAAAAAATAGCAAATAGACACTTCATTCAATAATTTTAATTCATTATCATATTCAAGATAACTGGTTTCTGTCTGTGCGATATTACGCCATAAAAGGTGATTACACAGAATGTCAATATCGCACATTTGATGTATCGTATTATTAATTTACAGTTTTAAACATATTTTTGAACATAATTTAAGCCAATTCGTTGAATTGGCTCAACGTTGAAAATAACAATTGTTGGTAAAAAATTTATTTCGTTATTTTGATACTAAAAAACGTATACATCTTGAGCAGATCCGCCCAGATGAGACATAATAAAAAACAGAATCGCATTGCTGTCAAAATACATGAATATTTTTTATTATATATATATATATATATATATATTATATATATATATCTGCATCAACTGATGGTGCAAGTTTGATATCAAAATTTCCAAATACAATTTAACTAATGAGTATTCTAATAGGCATATAAAAAATTTCAAAAAAATTACTAAGAAACTGCATAAAATAAAAAATTCATAAGTTTACGACTTGTATCATAAACTGTAGCAAAGCATTAGGTCTTGAAAAGATGAATAGAAAAGAACACAGGCTAGCAGTATTTTTAGATGTCAGCCAGGCTTTTCCAAACAGAACAACTTTTCTAAACTATTTCAATATCTTAAATTCATTTTTACTTAGTAGAAAATTTACAATCAAAATTAAAGATGTGACTTCGAGCATTAGAAATATAGAACGCGGGGTATCACAGGGCAGCGTGCTAAGCCCAGTACTTTATTTCCTTTTCACAAGCGATATTCCCACATATGATCTTCTAATAATGTGCACTAACGCGCGATGACATAGCTATAATTTAATGCAATTCTGATATTACAACAGCAACTTGTCAGTTACAAAACTCGAAAATGGTTTTCAGAATGGAATATCAAATCAATATCGAAAAATCTCACATAACTGTTTATATGTTTCACTAAAACCCACAATAGTCCACCTATGACCATAAACAATTAAACATTTCCACTATGCAACACTGTTAAATATTTAGGCATGCACATCGATTCGAAATTGACATGAAAACGAACATTGAAAATAAAAA